CGAGGATACTTTTGCGCCTTTATACAGGAAATGATTTGTAGGTTCGCGACAGATTTTTCGCCGTAAATGATCAGAGTTTCGTTGCTTGGTAGATTAAGGCGAATGGCTTTCTCATAACATAGGATGTCGGCACGATTTGGACTTAACCAATCCATACCAATGATGACGTCGAAACTTTATATGGACACCAGCATCAGGTTGATTAGGAAGGAAAAGTTATTTAGAGTAAGGGTACATCGTATGTATATATTGTTAGTGTTTTCGGTTTTCCCGTTGGCCATTTCTACAGTGAAGGTATCTTTTAGTGGTTGGGAATTTTGTTTATGTAGGTGTTCGAATTTATGGCTCACGAAGCTCTTCTCTGCACCACTATCAAATAGAATGCATGCGTATGAATTGTTGAGAAGAAACGTACCCGTGACCACAGTAGGATCTGCCATGGCTTCTTCGTGACCAATAGCTAGTATTCTTCCCACACCACCGGCATTCTTCATTTTTGGACAATACTTTTTGAAATGTCCAGTTTCACCGCATTCATAACATGCCCGACTTACTCCAATGCCAGGAACTTGAGAGATCGGTTGCGGAGGTGACCTACAGAATTGGGCAGTGTGCCCTTTTCTGTTGCAGTTTCTACATTGCAGTTTTTGGAAATTTCCATTGTGATGGAAATTACACTTGTTTCACTTCGGTAATTTACCAGCATACTGCTTTGCTGGTGTAGGAGTAGCAGGAATGGCAGCAGGAACAGTAGCAGCAGGAACTGCCACTATCTGTTGTTTCTTGGAAGGCTCTTGGGAAGATTTACCCTTCCTTTTGTTCCATGGATTTTTCTTGCTGTTGTTGTTGTTGTTGTTGTTATTGTTGTTGTTGTTGTTGTTGTTGTTGTTGTTGTTGTTGTTGTTGTTTGTTTTGGGTTGTTCTGGAGCAGCAATCATGAAGCCCTGACGAACTCCATGATCTACTAGAGAATGTGCCAATTGTTTGGCACTATCAAAAGTAACAGGCTTAGAAGCTAACACACTTCCTTGGATCTGAGGTGAGAGTCCCCAGATATACCTTTCGATTTTCTTGCTCTCTAGAAGAACCATTCCAGGACATAGGATCGCCAGATTGCTGAACCTATTGCTATAAGATACTATGTCTGTACCAATCATGGTAAGACCCCAAAGCTCTTGCTCGAGCTTTTGTACTTCACCCGTAGGGCAATATTCTTGCATCAACATCGATTTCAGATTTTCCCAACTCATTGAATTAGCCACTATAAGGGTTAGTGACTTTACATGGCTGTTCCACCATGTAAGAGCTCGGTCGGAAAAAGTGCAGGCATCAAATTTCACCTTGCTACCTTCAGGGCACGAGCAGATTTCAAAGACTGCTTCAATTTTCTCTATCCATTGAGTTAGATCCATGACTCCCCCAGTCCCATTAAAGGTCCTAGGTTTAGCATTCGTGAAGTCCTTATATGTACACTCCCATGGGTATCCTTGAATTTCACCATGATTTAAGGGATGAGCACCACTCCCAGATCCGCTGGCACCGGTTGTATTTATGTGTGACATGGCGACTGCCACAAATGTAGTGACCGCTGCCTGCAACATATTAGCGTCAAACTGTGGAGGTGGCGGCGGAGGAGATGGAGGTGGTATTGGTGCTGCATTGATATTTATACGTCTTTGATTTCTTCTTGGAGGCATCTTTTTCTTTAAGATTCAAAATATGAAAAGATGGTAAGACATCAATAGTGATTATAAATCAGATGTCTTTGAATTACATATATTAGTCCATCATGAATTCTGAAAGGAGTTTATATAGAAGTCTACCACAAGGAATAACTTGTAAAGTGATAACATGAAATTGGATAGTGATTTTTCAAAGGAAATAACATGCCTTTCAATTTTCATTGGTATAATAGTTACATAGAGTTCAGAAAATTTGACCTTGAAGTAGGTCTGAAACATACCAACTTAACGGAAAACTTTGACAGCATACCGACCTATCGAAAGTGAAATTTCGAGGTCGTACTACGTACATGAAAACATCACTAGTGTATATATGTAGACTTAAACTATATAATATATTCAAAAGAGTGAGTAGAGTATGCTCTACTCGCGAGGAGTGTTGTTTGGTTTGCTACTAGTTTCAGCCTTGGATTTAGCCAACTGGCGTTCTGTTGCAAAGATACGCCTTTCTAGTGTCGCTTGGCGTTCTTGAAGTTCTCCAATTTCAGTTCGGTTTGCAGCCAGTTCCCTTCGCAAGGCTTCAGTATGATTCCTGATTGTTTCATGGTTTCGAATCAGGTGGGGAAGATGAACCGTGTTAACTCTAGTGGTAGCATCAACTTGCATAACTCGGTCGATGGCAGTTCTTCCTTGTTCATCGTTACGCGCAACACGACGAACTATCACAGGGAGAGCTATATCTGTTGAGCCTCCTTCATTAAGGTTGTAGAAGCTTCGGTCTCCATTGTAAGGACAGTTCTGACCCTGCTCATGACTCCACTTATCTAAGTTCACTGCCCACTGCGGTGTTGGACCTTGGAAGTTCTGACGGGGGTTGATATTTTGGGCAATTTGAGGTGGATTATAGACTTCTGGTTCTGAATCAGAATCTTCCGGAAAATCTTCTTCGAAGTCTTCTTCTATCCAACATCCATTTCCTTGGTTAGGAGGGAACGGGTCTCCCGGTGGATGAAATCCAGCCATGTTATCTATGCGAGAATAGGGATATAAGAGATATTTAATAGATTTACAAAAGATAAGTAAATAATTTCAAATTTTCATATAAGAAATTTATAGTTAATTTGTTAATGTATTCTGTATGGTATGACTCATACTGGGTCCCTCTATAACCACAAAGTGTATACCAATTATATATAATTTGGGTCAAATAGACTTTCGAATAAATGATCCTACTCTACACCCACATCCAAACAAGGAAAAGGATGTAAAGCTAAACCACACATTCTAAGTCTATAAAACCTTAATTATATATAACCGTAATATATACACTTAATACTTATTGGTCTACCAGCAAGAGTCATTTGTTTTCACATAGTTGGTTCTTAGTATTATGGTGCCTAAAATACTCATATAGTATTTTAAATTTTATGTTTTGTTCTAGAGTTCTTCTGTATATGTAGACTTGGTAAGTTTTAGACTTGTCGCAACACTATTATCACTACCAAACACATGTTGGTCGTATCTCAAATAAATATAGTTGATCAGGCCATATTTATTCCAGATATGATTACATAACTGTCCAGGTTTAACTGTAGTGTCCAACATCCAAATACTTTTATGTTGTTATGACTGTGATGTTGTTCTTGTATGTATGAGTGTTAGTATACTTCTTATAAAATACTTAGATTTTAAAAGTATACTTATAGTCAGTGCTCCTTAGCCCCAATGTATTTATAGTTGTATATCTTTTATGGATTGATATACTGAGTTCATTATAAACAATGCTCTGATACCAATCTGTCACACCCCCAAACCGGAGCGGCGGAAACGTCCGGGGGTGGATGACTTCATGTTAGGTATCACAACACATGCATTATAGTAATCAAAGTACAACAAACATTGCATTCAAAAAAATGTATAAGTTTTAAATATGTTTTCAAGTCATTATATATATGACTTCAAAAGTATTATAACGAAAGATAGAAGACATGACTCTATACTGCTCCGTCTTCCCAAAAATCCCGGGAATGTACCTGTCTACTGGTTTCCTGAGAATACAAGTGTTTTGAAAAGAGAGTATCAACATTTAAGTTGAGGGAGTGCATAAGTATTTATGTTTAAAAGTTTACTGTTTGTTTCTTGAAATGGTAACCATGTTTATTGTTTCAGAAAATCCAATATTTCCTAATATAACTGATAAATAGTTTTAATACCATAAAACCGTATAAAGAATGTTTTCTGTATTGTTTATGTTTTTCCAAGTTTTGTAATTGTACTCTAAGAAAATCCTGTAAAAATGAATATACCTGCCTCCAGCAGATGTAATTGTAATGTAATATTGTAATCCTATTAAAGTAAAACCAGTACTTTGTATTCGTACTCTTTGGTTTAATTATTTATATACTAGTCATATTTGTTCATATCTTTTTGGTGAGTTATTATAACCATACTAGGACTAGCTGGCCTGCTATGACGCTTTGTAGACGTCAGAACTGTTAACGACATTTGTCACTCATAGGCATGCCTGCCCGGCTGTAGCTAACAGTCTGAGTGCGGGAGTGTCAATCCCGTATAGATCTATACACATTTGTCTCGCTCTCTGTCTGGAGATTCTGGTTATAATATCAGGACTTTAACTGTATTGCCTAAATGAATAAGCAACTAAACATTGTCTCACAAAAAGCATATTGACGATTACGTATATATAACAAATGATAAAAAGTCATTTTATACAAATGATAAACTGATAGTATGATCTTTCTCTAGTATTCTTCAATGTAAAGTATTTGTACAAGAGTAATCTGTTAAACTTTGTATAACTGATTCGTGAAAATAGTTTGAGTGTTTCATAAATTATACCTATTATAATTTATATGTGTTTTCTGTTTGATATGTAATATTCATGAAAGTATCCCCTTTGCTCAACATGTTACAAAGGGAATATGAATCTGATTGAATTAACTTTTATATATATATATATATATATATATATATATATATATAGATATATATATATATATATATATATATATATATATATATATATATATATGAATATAAACTAATTATTGTGTTATTGTATGCATAAATGTGGGCCAATCAAAATTTAAAATAAAAATAAATAAGTAAACAAATAAATAAGGGTAAATAGGTAATTTGATAATTAGTTTCCACAAATAATATCCTATAATTATGGTAACCATTGACTTCAGCTACCTAGGTTTTCTCGATCATCGTCGGCTTTTTAAAACCACCACCTATTCGATCCCAACACCATTGCTCGTCTCCCTCGCTTCACACCCTTTAATCAATTTACCAATGCTCTTAGAAAAAAACAAAGACGGATCCTTCCCAATTTTGTCTCTACTCATGTTTAGCCCTTACTTGTATTTTGTCCGAGGGTTTTCAGCACTTCGGAGGTTAAAAAGCAGGGAAGCTCCTTACAGCGAGGTGTCTAAGGGTTTGTACGTCGGTGGGTGGCCTTCTTCGCCGGACAAAATGTCGTCGGGTAACCCTGCTGTAATAGATTGCACCTGTGAGTTACCTAGGGTTTCTTGTTTATCTAAAAATGGTTATCTTTGTGTTCCGACGTGGGATACAAGGTCTCCGGATCCAGGTGCCATGGAATCGTCTGTTCGATGGGCTTTGAGAAAGAGAACTCAGAATACTCTATCTTCATTTATTGTGCTTATGGTAATTCAAATTCATTTCATCCTTACTAATACTGTAATACTATACCTCTTGATTAACGATATCATTACACTAAAACCATCAATCTTAATTCTGATATGATTTTAACTCAGGCCATGGAAGAAGTATGGCGTTGATGTCTGCTTTATTGGTGGGTTTGGGTGTCGTTGATGACTGGAAAAATGGTGAGAAATTAATCAAAGAAAAACGATCTTATATTCGAATGAGTGCTCTTCACTGGAAAGCATTGGAAGAATTGTCAATGAACCGGTTATCTCCTCCAAAAAATGGATCCAATGCACGTTATTGATTAGGTAATGACCATTAATTCAAAATTACTCTTCTTTATAGTGGTTATGTTAATATGAACATTTCTAAAACTTTGTTTTTTTATTGTACTTCATTGCTTTATAAAAACTACAACAGTTGATGCAACTTTGTTAGATGTATCGTTAGTTCTAATGTGTAAGTAAGAATTCACAAAAATCCAAGAAACATACTTTATACCACAAGGGCCATTTTGTAATTTACTTTCTTTATTGATGGTATACAAACTTGATACTTTGTGATAACATTAAACCAAGATTAGAATGCAAATCTGATATCCCACCTGGTGTTCGATTAAATTCCTTAGTGAAAGCATAGACTATTATCAAGAAAGTGAAAGGGTCACTCTAGATGCACTTTCAACCATGGGTATGTCCATTCCAATCCTCGTGAAGTTGAAAATGCAACCTGGATGTTAACCGTGAGTACTATTCTAATCTAGTCTGTTGTTTACTTGAGTTAATTATTTCAATGAATGTTGGTGTTTTGATGGTATGTGTACAAGTGTTCAACTGTTTCAGGCAGTATTTATGTCTCCACTTTCAGTCCAGAGTCAAGTTTTCAAGCCCAAAGATCAAAGTAAAAGCAAGGCAGCTAAGCGACGACAGAACACCCACCAGGTGTTCTATTAAATGCCTTAGTAAAAGCATAGACTATTATCAAGAAAGTGAAAGGGTCAACTGCAATTTTGGATGTGTGTAGGTTTATTGTCTAATTCTTTCAAGATGTAATATTTTTTGGTGAATTGGGAATTTGTTCTGATTGTCTAATTTTTACAGGAAATTGAAAGTTGTTTTGATGCACACCAAGCGCTCGCTAAAATGCTTCAACTGAATGGTATTTCTTCGTTTATAGTATTCTATCAGAAAAGAATGTTTTTTATGATAATCATGAACATATTCTGTTAGAATGCCCGAATTAATATAGTTATTGGTAAATACATTCCAATTCTATTATAATGGAATCACGAATTCCAATATGTTGGAATGGAATATGGATATTTTTTCACTAATTTATTCATTGGATTTGTTTCCACAGAATCTGATGCTTGAAGAACGGACCACGAAATTTGAACGACGCCTCTTAGCAACATTATTCTTTTAGAATGTATTAGTGTCTTTGTTAGATTTTGATGTTTTTTTTCCAGATTTGAAAGTTTTTTTCGTTTTATTCTTTAACAATAAATGTAATTTTTAGCAATTGTTACATGTATTCTATAACAATTAATGTAATTTTTGTTTTAATTCTTCAATTGATGGTTCGAGAATTTGTTATTCTACAAGAAATTTTTAAAGTCATGATCAAGAAATATGTTCAAGAATATTTTTATTATTTATGGTTCAAGAATATTTTTTATATTTGAATATACTCATAAACATATTCTGTCAGAATGTCCGAATTAAAAGAATTATAATTCGTAAAATCGGATTTTTAAAATTTGTAGAATCTATGATCCCTTAAAATATGCAATTTTCCTTTATTAAATCTATATTACTTGACTAAAATACCCTTGTAATTAAATTCGATGGTATTTTTCAATTATATTTAATTCAATAATATGTATTAATCACTTTCTTAAAATAAGTAAAATGATTGGCCCACATTTATGCATACAATAACACAATAATTACTTTAAATATAATAATCTAAGCCTATATATATATATATATATATATATATATATATATATATAATATATATATATATATATATATATAATTAAAATTGAAACGACATTCAGACAAATCACTACTAGAAAAACAGCCTTTTACGACGCGCAATGCATGTCGTAAAACGCTCAGACGACACGCAAATGCGTGTCAAGGAAGGCCATGTCATAACGAGAGACGACATGCTTTTGCGCGTCGTCTATTTACGACGCGCATTTATGACATGCATTTACGACGCGCAGTTATGACACGCAATGCGTATCAAGGAAGACCATGTCATAAAAGAAGACGACACGCATTTGTTTGTCGTAACCTTACGACGCGCGTGTTTATGACACGTAATGCGTATCAAGGAAGCCCCTGTCATAAATAAAGATGACACGCATTTGCGTGTCATAAACTTCAGCAACCATTTACGATATACATTTACGACGCGTCTTTACGATACTTATTTACGCATAATACAAAAATATGTAAACAAATATATACCAAAACAATTAATTTCATCCAACAACATCATGTCAAAAAATTGTAATACATTGATATTAAGGGAATCTAATTGTACGTTGTTATTAAGAGGTTTTCCCTAACTATATAACCTAATACTACATTGCGTCTCAAGGGACACCTTCTGCAAAGTAATGCTATACAAACTAAAAAGATATACACAAAGATGATATACATCAAATTCCAACTAAATATAGTTGCATCTTGCCTTTCATAATTCTTTAACACTAATGAACCCCTGCTCCGATAATTCTTGTGACCTGATCAAATAAAAGTCAAAAAATTAATATGCTAATATAATTAATAGAAGAATCAAACAAGGAATGTTAGCTGCAAATACTTGTGCCAAATGTGAATGGTCAAATGAGGGAAAAGTGAACATCTGCAGGCTTTTTGACACCAACCAACACACACATATACATATCACACAAGGAATGCTAGTTTTACTTTTTACCTTGTCTTTTACCAAACCACCCGATGTAAAAATCCCAACATTTTCTAATGCAATTAAAACCTTTTTCTGCAACAAATAATAGTATCAATTAGCCAACAAGAGAACAAAAAAATTAATAACTACCAAATTTATGATTATTCTTGATTGATATTTAAATGGGACCGGCAATATAAGTAAAGATATAAATTATAATACCTCACTTTCACCATCTAAGACTGTTTCCATGAGATAAAGGACACATAATTTTGTTATCTCCAAAAGAACATCCAAAACAGATAATCTCACAGTTTCTTGATTCTGTTAAAACAAAAATTGGTGAACACTTAATCATCTAACCACCCGCAACAGCTCTGAAAACACCATTTTAAGTGATGCCTAACTAGTTGCAAATAAAACATATATGTGTTTTCTATAGAAAGTGCTTGAACTCTGAAACCTCGAAAAATATCATTTTAAGTGATAATAATGTCATCAAAATTCGATTGGACAACCCTAGTGATACCTCAAGAACACTGAATAAGCTTCTGAACTACAAGTCATACTGAACTTCTCAATCACATCAAAGAATCGCCCAAACCACACTCTAGGGGATTGGGGAATAGTCCCAGACCATATAAGGACATTATCAACATTCATTGGATGAAATTAGAGCATCATAATTGAGCATAAAAACACAAACACATATCTCCTAGAGCAATAAAACTTTTGTTGGAAATCTCATTGGTCAAATACAACATACAAGATAACAATTTGAGCATTGAAAACTAGACAATAACTTAGTCAAAAAGCTAATGGCTAAAAAAGAACATTAGTTGTTGTAGAATGAATCAAATACACTATTCATTAGGTTCTTGATTCAACAACCAAAACATGTCACAAACAATGTCAGACAAAAAAGAAAAAAATTTATACCTTTCATTTGTGCTCTCAGCTTTTGAATACCACCATAATACCCCAAAACTTTATAGTTATGCATTGAGCGGGTCATGATAGTCAAACATTTTAAGACACGAAAACCTCCAGGTGTAATAACCAAGCTACTTGAAGACCCTGATATGCCTATCAATGAAGGCAAATCAGTTATGTTTATTGGCATATCTCATGCAGGAAATATAAAGCACTTGGTGGTGAGAATTCGTTATAAACTTAAATGAGTACCAAAAATAACACATATATTTATGTTAGATCAAAGGACTTGATTAAGCATAAACTAGTTGTTTGATTATGTTTTATCGATGGCCCAGCTGTGGGAGGAAGAAGACTACCCAATCCTATCTTCTCCCCAAATCACTCCAAACCCTAACCCCTAATTCACTAATTCAACATATTTTTTTTATATTTATTATGCATAATTATGATGAACTAACTACAACAATGTAGTTTTAGAAAGGATTTCATTACGTCTATGATAGCTTTAATCTTGGTGACTTCAGCCTTTGCCTCTTCCATAGAGCTGTAGTTGTTCTCATTCTGTTGACCCACATACCACTGTATCAGATCCCTTTGCCTCATTCCAGCTAACCCACTCCCTGAAAACAAGAAAAAAATAAAAAAAATATCAACCAACATTTTACTTATATTTGAGAGGTTTTCATATTGAGTTGTTTATTTGTTAATAAATAGTTTACATACTACACCTATTAGAGCATTTTGAAAGAAGAAAGTAGAATTGTATAACAGAATGAAGGTATGTTATGTTATTATGATGCAAAAAGAAAAGATGTCATACCATCTTGCATAACAGTTTCCTCATGTATTTTCCATTTTTCTACATATGACATGCTTAACAAAAAAAAGTAAGAGAATCATACATGCACCACTGAATGTGGATAAACTTGACTGACATCTGAAGGCAATTGCTGAGTTTCATTAACAAGAGAATATTTTGCAGTTAGTATCAAGTTTTTGTTTCTCAACATCTGCAAAAAAAAGACAAAATTTGTAAATGAAATATGAGATTACTTTACATAAGCCAACTGATGCTACAAAATAGAAGCTTTCATTTATTCATACACATATGTAAACATTGAATATAGTCAATATACATACTTACCTAATACCAAAAGTTTTTCAAACTTGTATCCTGGATTTAATACCGACTTCATCATAGAAGCAAGCCTTAAAATTGACAAAATAAGTCAAATGATAAAAAGTATGATCTTGCTCAAGATACAGAGAACTTCATGGAGAACTCAAAATCTTACCATGGTTATCTGCCAGATGTTCAGGAGAAATCATGCCCTTGATGTAACCTTTAACATCAACATTGACTATCATTGCATGAGGAATTACTCTTTCAACAGTACCTGATACAATACTCCCAAGTTTCACTGTATCATCTTCAGATACCCT